AAATCTTCATGTAATGTCATTTTCTTAACAACTTGTATTCAGTATCCGCAAGTCCTTGCTTAATTTGAACCAGTTTCATGTTTACCATTATTTCTAACTCCATAAAACATAATTTGATCAAAGAAGATATAGTACCAAGGTTACATAAAGCATTAGGTTAGGTGGCCTCGGCATTGGACCCAATGCCTAGCACCTAGGCACGTAGACGGGAGGCGGGGCCTAGCGGTTTTCTTATATTTTATTTAAAATCATAAAAATTTGATAGTAAATGCCAATGGTATATAAAGTTTAGGCACCGGATTGATGCCTAGACGGATTTCTTTCTTTCTTTAATTGGTGGTGGAGAAGGTTTTGTTGAGGTAGAAGAGATGTTCATAGTTTGAGGCTAGAGGAGTTTGGAGGACGTGGAGACTACAAAAGAGGATATCACAATCAATACCTAAAGGGTTCAATCCACGAAAGCATACTACACTCCCCTAGGCGCTCCCGAAACCTAGATAAGCAGCCTAAGTACTAGCTAGGTGCTAGGCGCTAGGCGTTAGACAGATAGTCTAGGTATAACCTAGGTCTAAGCGTACGCCGGCCCTAGGCGTTCTAAGCATATGTTTTTTAAAACATTGTCTGTGCCTAATGCAAAAATATTGACAATTTCCCTTAATTAGTGGAGTGAAATCAGTGAATGAATAAGAAATCAACACTAATTAATTTTTCCACTATTGACATTCAGTTTGGCAATATTTCTATCAATTAAGACACGAACATAAACTCCGTTGAAGAAATGTTGTTTTTTCCCTTTCTTAAAAAATGTTAAATTTAGTACGAAGAAGATATATCGCGCACTTGGGCAATTAACAACATTCCTCCCATTTTTCTTTTTTTTTTCTTTTTTTTTCTTTTTGTCTCAGAAAATGTTTATTTCAACTTGCAAATAAACTTAATTAAACAATGATTTCATTAGAAAGAAAGCGATACTTTTGAGTATAATATCAAGAAAGAAAGCTCTACTTCTGAGTATAATATCAAGAAACCTCCATGTTAAGAAATTCTATCGTTCTGATGTTTCATTACAAGCATATATAGTCTCATAGACAAATTCATTCGGTAGTATACCAACCTACATTATACAGTCCAAGGTTCTAGTCTTACATACAACACATAATTAGACATTGTTAATTGTTAATTAACAATACTAATTAGTATGCACGTTATTCTACTAAATTATTTCCCGGTGCAGTTCACAAACTGAGCATTGACATCTTGATCTGATGTTTTCTCATTGTTCTGTTGGTGCACAAACACGTCGTCGTTAATCAACGAATCAAGAAAGGACGAGAAGTCATCTTCAGGGTAGCAATCCATTAATGCTGTATCCTCTCCGCTATTGATATCAATTTCACTTAGGTAACAACTACTATTGAGCTCAGAAGATGTAGGATTAGGATTTGCTGGGGGTATGGGTGTTTGGAGATCGTTAGGGTTAGGGTTAGGGTTATTGAGATTCAAAGGTTTGTGGGTTCTTGGATCAATTCCTTGGCTGATGAGCTTCTTGCTTAGATATGTGTTCCAGTAGTTCTTGATCTCATTGTCGGTGCGACCAGGGATCCTTCCAGCTATCAGAGACCACCTGCTCATTAAAATATTATTGTAAATTCAGAAAAACAATTAGCACAAAATAGCAAAAAAAAATTGTGATATATACATGATAAAAGGGTCATCAGAAACCCTAACTAACTGAAAGAAAGAAGTTATCATGAGAAAAGATTTGCAAGGAAACCCTAGATAGATATATATGTTAGCTGCATAAACTCAATCTAATAAGTCAAAATTGAAATTTAATTGAATGTGAGAAATCGTAGTAAGCTAAGTAGCTAGCTATATCCAAGATAGGCTTTTAACTCAAGACAGGCTGTTAAAGAGAAGGATTATAAGTAATAATTGCTGCTTTTTATGCATGGGTGTTGGCATGGAGTGTAGGGATCATTTGTTCTTCGAATGCCCTTTCTCCTGCGGTATTTGGAACAATATTATGGACTGGTTAGATTTCAAGTGGAAATCGAATAACTGGGCTCTACTAATGAATTGGTTCACAAGGTTGAGAGGAAGTGGACATGAGCTAAAGAGGCTGGCTTTGACAGCGTCAATTTATCACATTTGGCGGGAAAGAAATGCAAGGATTTTCACACAGGATACTAAGGATGCTGAGCAAATTGTTAAAGTTATCAAATTTGATGTTTCAAACATCCTTCTAAATTGAAAGAGATACTTGAGAGCTTGTAATCTTCTTTTTGAGTTTCCAGGTTTCCTGGTTCTTTGATGTTCTTCAAAATGTTTCAATTTGGGAAATGAATAAAATTTAAGTTCATTGACCCAAAAAAAAAACATCCTTCTAAATAGTCCTCACTCTTCAGACAGGGGATCTCTCCCTGTTTTGGTAAAAACTTGAGGGTGTTGGTTGATATTTGATACATGTTTCTGGTTGTAATCTCAGTTCTTACTACTGAGTGTCTTGATATGTACATATTTTCACATATTGGTAAACGAATAAAATTTTCATTGATCAAAAAAAAAAAAAGAGTAGCTAGCTATATAAAAAGAAACCCTAAAAAACATATATAAATTTAGCTATGAACGCTAATAAAACATCCTAAAGAACGATTGGTAAAGGTTGGAAACAAACCTTCAAGTACAGTACAAAGTTGCATAAAATGATATATGATAAAAGGGAATTAGAAGCCCTAATAGTTGAAGAGAAAGATTGAGTAAATTATTGGTAGAGATTTGCGTAGAAACCAAAAGAAAGTTGGCGCATGAACTTCATTAATTAGTAAAATTGCGACTGAAGCCTAACCATTAGCCATATTAGATTCATAATGATAACCCTAAAGACCATATAAAAATACTCCTCAAAAAGGACTATCATAAGACTACCCAGCTAGCCAGTTTCAATTCATAATCAAACCCTAAATATCACACATAGATCTAACTACCAAAAAAAAAAAAGAAGCTCGTAAGAAAAGATAACATGGCTTAAATGAATCATTCAAATACCAAACAAAACAAGCCAATAAATTATACAGCTGATGATATGAATCTATTCTTTTATACAAATGGGGGAAACAAAGAGTTACTGTTCATGCTACAGTAAATGCTACAGTAGATTTACTGTAGCAGTATTACTGTAGCAGCTGAGAAGTTTAAAAGCCACTGTGGCAGATCGGTTACTGTAGCAACTCGGGAATTGCACTGTAGCAGGCGAGTTACTGTAGCACCCCAGAAAATTCAATCCGGGAGAGTTTAAAAACGGCGGGAACACTGTAGCAAAAAAAAAAAACACCGTGCGCAGCTGCACACTAGTATGTTATTATATGAAGAACATGAAGAATCAGTACCTGTTACCAAGAAGCCTGTGGAGCCTAAGGATAAGATCCTCCTCGTCCGACGCAATCGGGCCGTGCTTGATGCTGGGCCTCAAATAATTCATCCACCTCAACCGACAACTCTTCCCGCACCTCAGAAGCCCGGCCCGCTTCGGCAGCGTCCTCCACCTCCCCTCCCCTTCCTTCTTCACGAACTTGGACAGTATGTCATCCTCTTCTGGAGTCCATGGGCCTCGCTTAAGGCCAACTTTGCTGCAGCATGGCGTCGTTGGCTTTCCTTTTGGGCCGGATCTCGGAGAGGATGACGACGAAGGGTTTGGATTTCCCATTAGTTGTTCTTCTTCTCGGATTGTTGTTTGAGGGAGATGGTGCTTTTTTTTTTTTTTTTTTGTTT